TAAGCAGGTGCTTATTTAGTACGAGAGTGCATCAAACAACATAATATAATTAAACAGGTGCTTATTTAGTATGAGGATGCATCAAACAACTACTAACGTATTATTAATTTTATCCGATGCTTAATACGACCTGCCAAATGAGGCCTTCGTGTGAAGACAACTCAAGATAAGGGAACAAGGCGGGTTCAGAACACTCTCTCACTCGCCCTCTCAACTCTCCAACTCTCTCAAAACGCTATCCCTTGAGCAGACTAAACGACATGGCGGCAACCACAGGCCTCATCTCCTCCAGGACATCCACCTTCTTCTCCGGCGAAACGTCGTCGTTTATCAGCCCTCCTTTCTCCTCCCCATCCTCCTCCCTCAGGTTCGCCCCCGCTAACCTGCGCATGGTGCGTATCCCAACCCTCGCCACTGCCTCGAAGCCGGCCACCACCACCCCCCGCGAGCCCCGCGGCATCATGAAGCCTCGCAAAGTATCGCCTGAGATGCAAGCCCTTGTGGGTGCCCCCGAGATTTCTCGCACCCAGGCTCTGAAGCAGATTTGGGCCCACATTAAGCAGAACAATCTTCAGGTTTACTTTTTGATTTTTTTTTTTTCAACTTTGAATTTTATCGCTTTGTGGTTGATTTTTTGAAAACCCTTTTGTCCATTTGGTGTTTAATTGGTACTATTGTAGTTTTTAGAGAAAAAAAGTGTGGATAAGGTTATGTTTGTATGTAATGATTAGATTTTCTTGTTTTTGTGCTGAAATTGCTTAATGTTGTGAATGTGAGTGGATTTTTGCTCGGATAGTTGCGATGGCGTGGATGAAATGTGGGCTTTTGTTGTTAGTATTGTTACTGCACTTAGTTTGCTTCCATTGAGTTTTTAACCGGTTTAAGCTCGAATTTTTGAATGTCTTTTGCTTGTTGGAACTTGGAATGGACTGTCTTGATGTGTATGAGAACTGAGTTTGTTATTTCTGGATTCGAGACTTCATTACTGCCTGTATTTAGATGGGTTTATCCTGTTGCTAATATGGGGTTTTACATATATGGTTTAGGCAATGCTTGAATTGAAAATGAGAAGTGGTGTACTTTGCTATGGCTTAGGTTGGTACTAAGGGTTTCTAGGGTTTGGTATGCTTGTTATTCTGTTTAGATAGGACCGTATAAGGCTGTCCGTATGCAAGATGCGGGGAAGTTTTTTATTTTATTCTTAAATTTTTTCTCTTTGTTGTTTTCTGGATTCTTTTGTATCTGTTGGAGTTCAGTGTTTCTAGGCTGATAGTTGTGTCAGCTAGCAGCACTTACGGACTCCTAATTTTAATGTGTGGCTTACAGAAACTTATTTGGACCGAGAAGGGGGGGGGGGAGGTCTTGGGGAAGCTGTTTTGAACTTGTGGGTGACTGGAATTATATACTACCTTTACTTTACGTTTTCTTTCCATACTGTATTTTGTATATTTAAAGTTTTCTTCCGTAGTACTGGTAAGATGGTGTTTTTGCTTGAGTTCAGTTTATTTATGCAAAAGAGAGAAAATTTTGCACAATTTCATTGACAGTTTTTGTGCTTTGTTAAGCTTGTTTCTTGTGCAATTTTGTACGCTTTGGCAGTCTGCAATTTTATTTTATTTTAATGGCAAACACTAGTAAAATTTATCTGCACAATACATGTGTTCAAAACTCTTAAATGCAGATCTAACATGTTTTAGAGTTCCAACTTATAAGTAAATGAGATTCACCTGTAAAAATAGAATGGAAATTCTTGGATTACTCTGGTGTTTGATTACGTGAACTCTTTAAAAATTGCAGACCAATTTTCTTTTGGTTGTATTTGTTTTAGTTTCAACTCACGCGTCTGTTTTTCTATCCATTAATTTATTGCTGCATTTGCTAATTCATCGCTCATCTGCCAATGAGGTTCCATTTTTGCACAAATATAAAGCAATTAGACTGATTGAGCACTTGTTTGCTGATATTGATTAAAAAGGTCGTACCCAGTGCACAAGGCTCCCGCTTTACGTAGGGTCTGGGAGAGGTAAATGTCGGCTAGCCTTACCCCCATTTATGGAGAGGCTGCTCCCAAGTCTCGAACCCGAGACCTACCGCTCATGGGCGAAGGCACTTGCCATCGCACCAAGTGCGACCTCTGTTTGCTGATATTGATTCAGGGAAAAAAAAATCTGGTTGATAAGTTTAGTTTTTCTTTTGTACATAAATTGATGAAATTTTCTCCATTTCCATTTACTCTGAATCTGGTGTTTCATGTACTTGTTATACAGTTTATTTCCTTTCTTGTGACTATCTAAAGATTATATTGGAGGCTGAATATATATCCTAATTTAGGATTCAAAGAATTGATGTTTCCCAAGTTTGTTTAGGGGTGCGATAAAGTGAGTGTACTTGCTTGTGGTTTTGATTCCTATTGTGAGTCTGTGGTTAGGGTTGTATTCTGTTTTGTTAATGTTAAACTATCTTATTATCTCCTTGTATGATGCTTAAAATCTATGTTTTATGTTAACAGCCTTTAATTTTTGCTGACTTTGTCCTTTGGTGTCATTCTTCTAGGACCCCCAAAACAAGAGGATCATAGTCTGCGATGAGAAGCTGAAGAAGATCTTTGCAGGGAAGGACCGTGTTGGATTTCTCGAGGTTGCTGGATTGATCACCCCCCATTTCCTTTGAATGACCCTTGTGTAGGAAGAAAGACTTCGGAACTTCGGACCGTTTAAGAAGCAAAATGTTTTTGTATGAGGGGGTTGTGTTTTGGTACCGCTGAAAAGTCATGCTGCTGCATTATGCTTCTCTAAGTGTTTAGTTTTTGTACTTAAGGAACTTTAGCTTTAGTTAGAGTTTTGCTTTTGGATTCCTTATCATGTGGTAGGCTTTCTATATTACACGATGTCACTGCTGGGCTGCTTCGCTTAAAAAGCTTTAAATTTGTGGAACTATTGGGGTCCAAGAGTTTTAATTTATGCTATTTCTTCTGACATGACTCATTTGAATGCAGTTGGAATTTTGAACTCTCTCAGGATCCTCATAAAGGGGTCAGTACTACTTGGAGAATGATTTATATGGAACGGGTTTACCAAGATGTGCCGTCCCGATTTATTTGATAGAGACAATTACAATTGTAATGAACCTGTTGCATATAAATTCATATTCAGTACTCGGAGCAAAATGTGGTTATATTTGAATCTAAAACTTAACCCTCAACTCTTCTTTCTTTCAAACATAGCCACCAAGAAAAATTGAAAAGAAAAAGAAGAGGAAATTCCCTCTCTTTGGACGGAGAAATGTAAAATTACAAAGAAATTTTATTTTTTGTAATTTGTAAATTTTCTTGTTTGGTTAATCTAAATGAATAATATAATTTGAATATCTAATTTTTTTTTTTACTTTTGACCTCTCACTTATAGAAATTTGAAAATGATACATATCTACATAGAATTTAAACTTGTGAATTTGAGGTCCCGAATTTTTTTATATTTTATTTATTATTATTATTATTTTTTTACACGGAAGAAATTCTAAGTTTCTATGTTTATGAATCCAAATAAGAGAATTGATGCATATCAATTTATAAACTTTGACTTTTGTTCAAATTCCAAGTTTATTTCTCTCATCCAACCACATTATAAATCTCATGGGGTCATGCCACGTGAAATAATTTTTCTATTTTTCCTATATACATATGTTTAAGGATTTTTATCACCAATAGTCCATGAGATAACTTATTATTTTAATCCATCACTTTTAAAATCAATGAATGTCTTTCCTAACATTCATTAATGCACATCAATTTAGCCATTCGGTTTAAATTTCGTCAACTGTTTGTACGTGGGACCTACAAATTCAATAAAATGATGACACGTGGATTACATAAAATAAGGGTTTTTATAACAAATGGTCTCTGACATTGATCCAGCTCTTCATTTTGGTCTATGAGTTTCAAAAATCAATATATTTGGTCCCTGACTTTCACTATCTCACATCAATTGTCATTCCATTAAAAATTCGTCAATATTTTTTGTTAGTGTGATGATGTGGTCCCACTAATCCAATCATATGGCTCCACGTGGATTAACTATAGGAAACTATTGTTTTTTTAAGAGTGAACCAATCGACGAGTATTTTGTACTGGCATTTCTCTTGCATCCCACAACCCCAATTGGAAAACAAAAAAATTCAATGTAATTTCGATAAAATCGAATCCAAATTTAATTCAAATTTAATTCAAATTTGATAAGATTATAACTCACTAGAGCAAATGATGAGTGAGTTCAGGGAGACCAGGTGTTTTAGTGGTATCATGGTGCCTTACTATTCTTGTTGGGCATACCAAGATGAAGATGATGATGTCTTTTTTTATTTTAGCTTTTAGTTTCTTATTTTACTTTTAGTTTTAAATCTAAAAAAAAAAAATTTCTTATAGTTAATCCACGTTACATCATATGATTGGATTAGTGAGACCACATCAACACACTAACAAAAAATATTGATAAAACTTTAACAGAATGACTAAACTGATGTGTGGTAAAACATATGGACTAAATTTATCGATTTTTGAAACTCATGGGCCAATATGAGGAGTTGGATGAATGTTAGAGACCATTTACAATAAAAAAAAACCTTATTTTGTGTAATTCACGTGTTACCATTTTATTGGATTTGTGGAAGCCACATACAAACTAACAGAATAGATGACGAAATCTAAACAGAATGACCAAACTGATGTGCGGTAATGAAAGTCAGATACGACACTAATTGATTTTGAAAGTTAGAGAATAAAATGATGAGTTTCAATCTTAGGGACTATTAACGATAAAAACTCTAGATTAATTAATATTATCTACATACATAAATAACATAAATTTCTTTATAATTGAACTATTTCTCTTCAATTTGTCGGGGTCCCACCTCCAAACTCGAATTCATGTCCAAAAACGGAAAACGAACTTTGTTTGGTGGAAGAAAACGCAAATATCACAATTTCCCTCGAAGATAATCTTTTGTCCAAGGCCAAAGCCGAAGCCAAGGGTAACAAAATTTACCCGAGTCTCACACCAAAACCCAGCCACTAAACCCAAAACTTTCTCACTCTATCTCCAATGGCAGAGCAAATAGCTCTCCCTCTTCTCCTTCCCAACCCACCTCCCTCCTCCAGACCCTTCTTCCAAACCCACCACCAACCCCAAAACCCAGCCACTCCCCCACCGCCTCCCATGACCCCTCTCCTCCAAGAGCTCCTCCTCCACCCAAACCCCTCCACCCCACAAACCCAAAACCCCTCTTCCCCTTCCACCCTCCCCAGAGCTCGCACTCGCATCGGCAGGTCACGCGACTCCAACCGCGGCAAGCCCTGGTCCCACCACCGTCTCTCCTCCCAAGGTCAGCATATCCTCCACTCCTTTCTCGACCCACAATTCGATTCCTCCGATTTAGGTGAGAAACTTGTTGGTTTAGTTGAAATGCATAGGGATGAATTTGGTTCTAGCTTGGACTCTCTTGCTTTGGATTTACTGGGTATTGTTAAAGGTTTAAGCTTTCACAAGAAATTTGACTTGGCGATTAGTGTTTTCGAGTGGTTTAAGAAACGTGAGGATTGTGATTCGGTTTTGAGTGGCTCTGTTGTTGCTGTGATTATTAGTATTCTGGGGAAAGTGGGTCGGGTTTCAAATGCAACTTCGTTGTTTCAGAATTTGCACAAGGAAGGTTTCGCTCTTGATGTTTATGCTTATACTTCTTTGATTACTGCTTGTGCTAGTAATGGGAGGTATCGGGAGGCGGTTTCAGTTTTTAAGAAAATGGAGGAAGAGGGGTGTAGGCCGACTTTGATAACTTACAATGTGATTTTGAACGTGTATGGAAAAATGGGTATGCCTTGGCACAAGATTAGAGCTCTTGTGGAGGGTATGAAGAGTGCCGGGATTACCCCAGATTCTTATACATATAATACGCTTATTACTTGTTGTAGGCGCGGGTCTTTGTATGTGGAGGCTGCTGAGGTTTTTCAGGAGATGAAAACAGCTGGGTTTGTGCCTGATAAGGTTACGTATAATGCATTGTTGGATGTATATGGGAAGTCTAGGCGGACAAAGGAAGCAATGGAGGTATTGAAGGACATGGAGTTTAATGGGTTTTCTCCCAGCATTGTGTCTTACAATTCGTTGATATCGGCTTATGCAAGAGATGGTTTGCTGGAGGAGGCAACAGCCTTGAAAACCCAGATGGTGGAGAAAGGGATTAAACCAGATGTTTTTACTTACACCACCCTTTTGTCAGGATATGAGAAGGCTGGGAAGGATGAGCCGGCAATGAGGGTTTTTGAGGAGATGAAAAGTTTTGGTTGCAAACCAAACATTTGTACCTTTAACGCCCTTATTAAGATGCATGGTAACAGGGGAAATTTTGCTGAGATGATGAAAGTTTTTGAAGAGATTAAGATATGTAAGTGCACCCCCGACATAGTTACTTGGAACACACTTTTGGCTGTGTTTGGCCAAAACGGGATGGACTCGGAAGTTTCGGGAGTGTTCAGGGAGATGAAGAGAGCAGGGTTTGTACCCGAGAGGGATACTTTCAACACTCTAATAAGTGCATACAGCCGGTGTGGTTCTTTCGACCAAGCTATGGCTGTGTATAAAAGAATGCTGGAAGCTGGTGTTACTCCAGACCTCTCCTCCTATAATGCTGTTTTGGCAGCACTGGCTCGAGGTGGCCTTTGGCAACAGTCTGAGAAAATACTTGCCGAAATGCAGAATGGTCACTGCAAACCCAATGAGCTTACATATAGTTCTCTGCTCCATGCTTATGCCAATGGCAAAGAAAATGAGCGCATGCATATTCTTGCTGAAGAAATATACTCTGGTGTAATTGAACCCCACGTTGTTCTCTTGAAGACACTTGTTCTCGTTTTTAGTAAGAGTGACCTCTTGATGGAAACAGAACATGCCTTCTTGGAACTGAGAAGAAAAGGGTTTTCACCTGACATAACTACCTTGAATGCGATGCTATCAATATATGGTCGGAGGCAGATGTTTTCGAAGACAAGTGAGATTTTGAAATTTATGAATGAGATGGGATATACTCCTAGCTTGACAACTTACAATAGTTTGATGTATATGTACAGTCGTTCAGAAGATTTCGAGAAATCAGAACAGTTTCTAAGGGAGATAATGGAGAAGGGAATAAAGCCTGATATAATTTCGTACAACACTGTCATTTTTGCCTATTGTAGAAACGGTCGTATGAGAGAGGCTTCGCGGATATTCTCAGAAATGAGGGACGCTTGGATTTCTCCAGATGTGATCACTTACAACACCTTTGTGGCAAGTTATGCAGCTGATTCATTGTTTGAGGAAGCTATTGATGTGGTCCGCTACATGATTAAGAATGGCTGCAAACCAAATCAGAACACATACAACTCCATCGTGGATTGGTACTGTAAGCACAACCGACGGGATGATGGAGTTCAGTTTGTCAATAACCTTTGCAATCTTAATCCGCATATATCCGAGGGGGAGGAGTCCAGATTGCTAGACCGTATTAAAAATAAGTGGTCATAATTAGTTTCTCCTGTATGAATGGGGTTGCTGCTTGATTGGCTTAGTTTTAGCCTTGAACGCTTTTGTAGCCTTGAACGCTTTTGTACATCAAGCCGTTCATTACCTCTTGTTATGCTCATGTTATATATATTTTGTTCGGGCATGGAGACGAGGAGGATGTAATTGTCTTGTTGTACATGATTTTGTTGTTTCTCGGAAAGGCTAGCTGCAGGATATTGTGAATATTTTGTAAGTGAACAAATTAAGCTACATGTTTGTTCGGTTTCAATTTAAATGGCCTGGCCTGAAGCGTATTTGTATAGATAAAGCTGAGATGAAGCAGTGGGTGCTGAGTAACTTTCGAGGTATGTACAATTAACTCTTCGTCGTTAACCAAACTTGCCTGTAACTGCGGAAGCTTTGTTTATTTTGATAGTTAAATTGTGAAAATTTTAGGGTTGCAACAATCTTTTGTATGATCAAAGGTTAAACTTTTCTATTTGGGATTTTAAAGTTTCTATTTGGTGCGATGGCAAGTGCCTTCGCCCATGAGCGGTAGGTCTCGGGTTCGAGACTTGGGAGCAGCCTCTCCATAAATGGGGGAAAGGCTAGCCGACATTCACCTCTCCCTGACCCTGCGTAAAGCGGGAGCCTTGTGCACTGGGTACGACCTTATAATTGAACGTTATAAACGAATCTTATACCATCAATTGCAAATCTAATTAGGTATCTACCTTATCCTTTGCTTGTTTATCTGTCTATGAGCTGATAATTAAAGTTTTGCGTGATCCTATTCGTACCACGTTTATTGATCACATTCATGGTTTCCTTAAGTAAGTATATTATATGGTTGCCCTTGGAGTTACAGATAATCATGCATATGACTTCATCATTCGCATTAATAGCCTGCAATTTGGCCCATTGCTATTGGTGAGAAAATGAGCAAGAAGAAAAATACACACATTTTCTGATAGGAGTAGGATTTTTATTCAAGAATATTATACCATGAAACGAACAGCACATACCTGCATTCGAGGCTCTGCGTTCGGTTGGCCTTTTCTCTAATGTCGCTTGTATGAAAAATACGAGACTAGCTACATGCAATTGTTTGTTGCTCAATGATAATAGAATCATCAATTTGTTTGGATTATTCTAGTGTACGCACTTTGTTTCGATTAATCACAATTCGTAGATAAAATGCATCTGAAACGTGTTTGTTAAATCTAAACTTAGTACTTTGTTTCGATTAATCACAGCTACTCCAAAGAAAACATTTTCTTGATAAAAAGCTTTGGGTGGTGGTCATTGGATTTTGGGGTTTCGGATACGATCTTCAAGAGAGTGTTTTTTCTTTCCTCTCCAGCTTAGTAACCCCAGAAGCTACAAGCATTTTCATGGATAAAGTTCTTGGTTGAAAATATCTAAAAATATCTATGAAAATGCTTGCTTAATTCTTTAATTCCAAACTCATTTGTTTTAGGGTTGAAACATTATCATAACCAAGAGAGTGTTTTACGGGTTCAAGACCTCCTTTCTGTGTTTGTCACTGAAACCTCAGACCTGCAAATCATTTTTCTTGTTAAAAAACTTGGTGCTAACTCACCGACATATGTTTCATGGGAATGTTTGCATAGTGTCTTGATCTCAAGTATATTTTCAAATCTTCATATAGATCTTAGTGAAGGATTTTCAGTTGCTTTTATCATATGTTTATTTGAAGAAACTGACTCTGTATTTTTAGAATCCAAAGTTGCATCTCACATTTCTATCATTTGCCTAGTTTTGATTCGGTTCTCGGTGCCATAAAATGATGAGTTCAGAAGATGGATATGCCATCTTTGTGAATACTGAATGTAATGCTGCTAGGTGAATGTTGCATAAAGGTACAAGTTGCTCCATAAAATAGGTATAGGAATTGAGCTTATGTGGTATACTTTGTATGAATCTTTATTTTACACTAGTGGACCAGACTCCATGGAGTCCCCCAATTTTTTAACTGAGTTAGGGTTTTTTTTCGAGGAATCCGGGTCCTTGCCGTATCCTCTTTGTGAGGATCCTGGGGATCTGTCAATCCTGTATGTTCATCGTATATTGTGCGGTCAGAAATTATTTTAATATTTTTATTTAAAATTAAACACAAACAATACTTGACAAAAATTGACCGCATGATGTACGATTAACGAACACGATTCACGGATCCCTAGAATCTTCATCAAAAGGATTCAGAGAGGATTCTGTTGGTTTTTTGGGCACAAACTTGACGTGTGTTCTTAGACTTGCTTGCATATATAGCTGTTAATGCTACTTGCTGTCATAGTGCTTGCTTAATAATCGGGTGTGCTATCCACACACCTCATTTTACTTCTTACACACCCTTTGATAATTTCTGTCCGTTGATCTTCTTCAATTCATCCGATCCGACGGTCGAAAATTAAAAAGGTGTGTGAGAAGTAAAATGGGGTGTGTGGATATCACACCCCCTTAATAAATTGATATGTGAATATGTTCAACTTTGTGAATTATATTGTGACCGGACTTTTTTCGGACTAGACTAGCTTCATGATTCAAATGGACTAGCTTAGAATTGATTATGCTGCACTGGCTTGATGATGAAGCGTTTGATGTATTGTCAGACTAAGAAGTAAGAGAATTAACAAATTCTAATATTATATTATTTAATCATACCAATTAATATTTTATTATTAATTCTTTTTTTCTTAAAAATCTCATCCTCTCTCGAAAGCCGACCCTTAGTCCATAGTTGCAAATCAAATCAAAAGCCAATTCTAGATTAAATCAAAGGAAACTTTAACGAAAAGCTTCTGGTACTGTTCATTTTAACTAAAAATAACATTTTTACACTACAAAGTCAATCATGGTACCATTTGTTGGAAATGTGCCCTAAAACCAATCACATGATGATACTTTACGAACATTTCACATGTTAAACTAATCTAGTTTAATATAAAGGGTAAAGATTATTGTTCGAAGTCGTCATATGTAAATGTTATATACTTAAATGATAAGTCTAAGGAATATGTAATTGAGAGAATGTGATCTAAAGAAGTTAGATTCATGAGACCATTGTCTTTCGTATATATATCCTAAACGTTCCTGATCATAGGATTGCCAATTGGGTATTGACAGTTTGTTAAGATCAGTACGTGTTATGTCTTCTCTTAGAGAGAGTGACTGGTCTTGAGTCATTGGTGTGACTGACACCAAGACAAGCATGTAGGTGATCAATAGAGAATGAGACCACTGAACGCGATCAACGAGGAGTTCTCATACTCATGTTACATGACAACTCATGGTTGGGATAATACAAAGTAGTCCTTTGACCTGAGGCATCATAGTTGTTTTGTGGTTAGGTCCTTGATCTTTGACTATGTCAAAGTCACTCAATCAGAGGGTGTCCATGACATAGTTGGAGTTAAGCCACTTAGTCATGGAGGCAAGTGAATGCGTAACAAGGGATCTCTAATCTTCAAACCGTTTGAGGGAGAATACTCTATGATATGATTAAGAATCTCTAGCCAGAGTATGAATGAGATTTATGAAGTCGTTCCAAATCACATTCAAGGTAATCATATAAGTAAGAGAATCACATTAGATAGTAGACATGAATTAACTATCAAACCAAACAATGTGGTCAAGAGTATTGTATTAGAGAAAGACCGTATTGCATTGTAATCCTAAATTGAATAGGTTCTCCACCTCTTCTTATTACCTTGGGTAGCCATGACATACTGCTAGGTGATACTCATGGTTTTTGGAAGCCCTAAAGGTGAGTAATCACTAAAAGGAGAATTGAAAGTATGTTTCAATTCACAATCGATCGTTAAGAGTAACAATCGCCCACTGCCTCGCTAAAAAGAACCTAATGGATCATACACTGTGTAAGGTAGAGATTGAAGAAACAATGGAGTTGAGTAAGATCAATTAAATGGTTTAATTGTTTATGGCTAGGATTAATTAATATGTTAATTAATCAAACGAATAAATTCATTTTACACCTCGGGTTAGTTTTGGGCCTCAAGGCCTAATGAGCTTCGAATGTCAAGCCCATTGACTAAAAGTTGTATGACAACTTAATGAATAAAGATTCAAGAGCGCCCAAACAGCCCAATGACCATAGAAGGCCGGCCATATAGAGAGTGTATGGGTTTTGGTTATTTAGGTCACTTAATTGAAGGGACTATATAAAGAACTTTATAGCCAAAATTCATTCAGGGTTTTTTTTGGATAAAAGATGAGAACACAATGCTCTCATTTTTCTCTCTAAGAGGCCGGCCACCCTAGGAAGGTTTTACGAGCATCTAAATCTTCCTAGGTCACTCATATCCTCATGAATGCTCTCCTTGGTGTGGAGACTTAGAGGTTCTCTATTTTGGGAACTTGGAGAATCCATTCGATCATCCTCATCTAAGAAATCCATGGAGCTAAGAAGTAAGGAATGAAGGCCGTATCTCTTGGGTGATTAGCCTTTACTTATGCAAAGAGGAATCAACAAAGGTATAATATTTCTCAACTCACTTTGTTCTTGAGTTGAGTTTTGGTTCACCACACTTACTAGGCCTTGAATTTCATGGGTAAAGTTTTGTTTTTGAGTGCACGCAAGCATGATTCCGCCTTTAATTGTTAATTGCATGTTGTAGATGTTGCTCAAATGAACTTGTTTTCACAAATATTTCCTTCAAGTGCTATTAGAGCCTAGGTCTAGTAGTTGGTGAATTCTTTTGGGTTTTGTAGTTCATAGTCTTTGAATGTTGTAATTGTTACAAGCTTTATTCTTGCTTCTTTGAATGTAAATTTTGCTAGAAATTTTGTCATCTCAAATGTTGTAGATGTAGTTCATATGAGCATGAATTTTGGAGCTAAAATTTGGTGCCATGTTTTTGGGGAAATTCGGCCAAATCCAAAGGTGGATTTTTGGTTCATGTTTGTCTTGTTAATAGTGTTTTAAAGTGACTTTTGGAACCCCTAAGTACCCTAGGATGTTAACCCCCTTTTGAGTAGTGAAAATTTGAGTTTTATTGAGGGAACATTCATAGAGCTCTTATGGGTTTTCATGGATGTTCTTCAATGTTCTTGCCAAGAACAAAAAGTTGGGTGTTTTGATTCAAAATTTTTGGTTGTTTACATAAAGTCTTGATTTATGATGGTTGGTGTTACTTTTCCATCAACAAGTCACTTTTGAAAAAGTGTATTTGAAATTATTTAGTCATGGTTGGTGTACATGATTGATACTTTGCTTTCACACCCATATCTATTTTATTTCAACACCATACCTATCTTTTTCAACATACTTGACTTTGAATTTTCAACAAAAACCAACCCATCACTCATTATCACTACCATAACCGGCCACCCCTATAATGGGGGTACTTTTGGGGCTTTTATGCAATTACATAAAGTTTTGATACTTTTGTGTATTTGCATTTTGACCCAAAAGTTTACTTTTTTA